AATTAACTCATTTATACAGTTTCAATCCTGTTGTTCAAATTGGTAGGGCCATTAATGTGCGAATCCTTTGAAATACAGAAACAATGCTCAAAATTCGGCAAGAGTAAAATAAAAATGTCTTCCCAAAGAATCTGCTGATTTTTTTTGTTGTCTTCTTGTTGAAGTCTTTAATAATCTTAAATATTCTTTTCTTTCTTTGAAGAAGGTTTATTATAAATAAACTTTTTTCCCTAATTTTAGTTTAATAACGAAGTGAAAATTATTTTATTAAATCGTTTTCAGAAGAATATTTTTACTTTCATATATGTACTATATAGTAAGGGAAAGTATTGCGATCCTGAAAATTTTTGAATCTCACATTTCAACGGAAATACACGTTATGAGGTCCCCTAAGTCGAAATAACCAAACCCCACAGAATTGTTTGTGTGTGTGTATTTTGAAAGTCCAGCAGGAAAACGAATAGTCATAGAATAGAAACTGCTATTAGGTATTTAAGATAGGCATATACGCGGGATATTACTTACATCAACTTTTTTTCCGAATTTCCCAAAAAATGGCTCTAATAATTAACAATGTAACCTAATTTCCTAAAAAGCAATATAATTGTTAAAATATTAGAACCGGAGAAGGATGAGTAAGCCGAATAAATTTTAGAGTATAGTACAGCAAATCCGTTGTATCGTATCAGATAACTAAAAAATAAAACTGAAAACATTGTGGTAAATGTAATGGGATTATAAAGTTGTCTAGATGGATAGAATAAATACGATCAAGACGAAGGTGGGTAAAAAAGAGGAGGCATTCAAAGATTAATAATTTTAATCCATATAATAAAAACCAATTCATTTAGTAGTTCGTTGGAAACCATGAAAGTAATCTATCAATTTTTCATTTGTTTATTCAGGAATATTACATTCTGTCACAATCATGGACCAATCTATCAATAAACGTAAAAACTTGTACACGTGTCTTTCATTCACCAACAGTGTTTATATTTCAATGCAGGATCAATTAAATAAATGTAACATTTTATTCATTCAATAACCAACAAAACTTGTTAATTTATATCAATAACTTTTTATTTTTTATCCAATTTCATAAAAGGAATAGATTTTCATTAGAATTAGTTCAAATACTTTATTTTTTTCTTTTGAGTACGAATCCATCGGCTATGGTTGAATGTAATTTTCTCTTTTATATCTAAATTAAATGCAAGTACACGTAATAATACCCCCTGATACATCCTGTACAGATCAAGTGTTTAATTTTGATTATAGATAATTAAAAACATTTTTTTTCTATATGTGGCTCATGTAATATATTTTTTTCAACTAATGTTTGAAATCATTTCTGAGTATCAGGTTAATACAGATAATTGTTTAAATCGATTTGAATTATACTTTTATACTTATAATCAACATATTTACTTCGATTTAAATATGGTAGGTTATATTTTATTCATGGAATTGACCAAATAATATTTTAAAAAATTTCATCATCACTGAACTAACGCAACAAGAGATTTTTACTCTTTCATCATTGCTGAATCTCTGGAATAAATGATTACAGTTTATATAATTTTCGAGGGTCAATAATTAAAAAAGAAATAAATACTAAAACATGACATCCATGATTCTCACGAATTAAATTGAATGCAGAAATAGGACAATTTGTCTGTAATAGGAAAATCATTTGAAAAACATGTTTTCATTGCATGTTTATTTGTCAATATGCAAAAAAAAAAAGTTACAGGAGTATTAATTAATTATCCATAAATAAAGTTTTACACTTGAAAGTTCTTTGCTCAGTGACTGGTTCAGTTTGTGACTTTATAACAATGAACATTCTGCTACTAACCAAATCAGAAAGATGTTAACTGGAGGCTTCATATAAAGATGTAAGAAGTATATTGTGAATATATGGATTTATTATCATTGTGACAAAGAAAGAAGAAGAAGAAAATTCATTTGGAATGTAAAGATGATGGATGGAACGTCAAAATCTTTTCTTCAATAACTATGGGTGTCTGGCTATAACTTATAACGAATCAAATCTGAACAAGTTGGAAAGAAAAGATCGAGATTGAGAGAATCAAATAAAACTTTGTGAAGAAGAAAAAAAAATCCCTAAATAGATCATATGCAGTTAAAACGTTATATATAAGTCGATTTTTTTGGTATTTTTTTCTGACTTTGAATTTCATATTGTAAATTTGCTAACATTCATATTTTGATAAGTCCTAAAGCACAACCTCACAGGCACTTATGGATTATAAGAAATGCCAAATATATCGGCAAAGGAGATATAAATTTTTGTGCGTTTGTGGCTCGTTCACAATTAAAAAAACACACAAAAAACATACATATATACACTTTTTTTTTCTGCTCTTTATTTCTGATCCTTCATCCAGAATATTTTCAGTCCACTTTACTGTTTATCAGAGCAATATCGTATAAATGTGGGTTGACCGTCGGCATATGTAAGTCAGTGTGTAAAGTGTTGCTGCATATGCTTAATTAAGTTGTATCTTAGATTGAAAAGTTGGAAGCATTTTTATTTATATCGTTTTTTAACATGATTGTTAATATTATTTAATACTTTTTTTTTTTATATACGGACCCCAGGTCACTCTACCTAGCAGGTCTTCTACCTAACACCAATCCTAGGTATTGCATTCTGTTCATAGTGGGATTTTTGTGTTGTCTAAGTTAACATGTATATATATATATATATATATATATATATATATATATATATATATAATATATATATATATATATATATATATATATATATATATATATATATATATAATTAAGAATTAGACCTACTAATATTTCTATATAATTATTGATAAGTTTCGTAATTTAAAAAAAAATAAAAATATCTGTTAGTTATAAAAGAAATATAAAATCTATGAGATTGAAAACAAAAAATAGTCCAGAGTATAGAAAAAACCTTTCCATTTGAAGTAGCTAAAGATTCAGAGGGGCAAGAATTACTTCGGGATATTGGAAAATGGGAATGGAGCTGAAAATTGAGAGGGAAATTCTGCTTGATTCGTTTTTTTCACTTCTTTTTTTTCGCCTGTATCTGTAACGTTCAGTCCTGCGATTAGTTTCAGGTGTATTGAGCATGAAGGATATTAGAAATTTTCATCAGATTTTATCGCCTTATACATGTGTGAACTCTTGTACTCCACTAATTTCCTTTTTTTTAAATTATTGATTAAGGAGAAGTAATATTTCGATGGATTAAAATATACACGTCTTAATGGCTGAAGGAATAACGTTTTCCATAAATAAGTTTTCGATGGCTAAAATTAAGGGAAGAGAAATTTTTCAAAGGTTACAATTGAAGAAAAACCCACTCCTCAGTACTGTCAGTAGTCATTAATTCAATTTAAATGTTACTGACTATATTAAAAAAGCCGATATTTGTATAAAACAATAAAAACATGCTGTTCTAGATATTTGTTCTTAATAGATACAAATTTATTCTTGAACGAATTTGCTTACGTTTATGTACTAATTAGCAACAGCTATTTGAGAACTTCACACTTCGATTAGAATATTAAAAATCCTTATACATTATTTCTTAAAAGACTTTTTTTTTTAACAACTCAATAATTATACATTTTATTTACAACTGTACTCATTATTGATTTTGATTGATTTATTTGATTTTTTTTTTTTTGTTGCCTCTACCCTGTAGGGTCATTGGCAACACCTTTGAATTAAACTCTGTTGTAGAATTTTATCATTTTTAAGAACTTTAAAGCTTTTTTAACGGCATTTTCATGGTCTTGTAGATTTTCTTTCAGACTCTGTGCCATGTCTAACTTTCTCCTTATAGGATCAAATGTAGGGCATTCTTGAATAATGTGTTTTACTATCCTTTGGACATTGCAGTTCTCGCAGGTCGGAGGATCAAGTCCTCTTAGTAAGTAGGAGTGCGAGAACTCACAATGTCCAATTCGCAGTCTGCAAAGGGCTGTCTCCTCTTTTCGAGATGGTCGGTGCGAGGTTTCCCATTTTAAACAGTGGGGTTTAATTTCTTTTAATTTCGATTGATTTTATCTATGACTATTTGACAGGTTATTATATTTCCTTACGAACGAAAAAATCATAAAAATCGAACTTTAATTTGCAAACATTTTGGTTTAAAAAAAAAATATTTATTAATTATATTCTTATTTATTCGTATAAGCCAACTGGTGTTAACTATTTATATTTAAATTTTTAATATTTCAGAAATATTGATTTTTTCAGATACCTATATTATTACCTTTTGATTTATTTCAGTTTAATCTATTTGTTTCACTAGTCAATGCTCTCTTCTATGTAACTAACATCATGACCTTTGTATCCAATTTCTTTTCTACATGTTATCCCGAACATTTGACTGAAATTTTTGAATTATAAACTCTATAGCTCAATCGCTGTCTAGTGCCACTCATGCACACAATCCTTCATGACGGTTGAAACTGCAGGATATTAGGAGTAAAAACTTATATTATCTACTGAAACTATGCATATATTCGGTTATACCGCTTTAACCAATTGGCCGACTCCCATTGGCTGTTAATACCAGCAACCAGCGGTTGAAAGAAAATCACCCTTCTTGAAAGAAATGCAATGGAATCTTCTGGATTTTGCTTTTCTCTCTACAGATGGGAGAAGAATTCCAAGTTGGAGTTCTTCTGGCTGGTTGTAAGTCAGGTAATAATACTGTTTTAAGTAGTAATATTGTGCATTATGTTTATTTAACTATAATTTTAAGTTTGTTTTTTAATTTTCTGCAAATATGGTATTTAAATAGGTTTATTACACTATTACTAATTTCCTTAATTGGAATAGCATTTAATATTATGCAATGAATGAAAATAATTATTTTTTTCATACCAGTTTTCTTCTAACTTTATATTAAATCAATTTCCTTATAATGTTTATTATCATATTTCAGGTATAATGCGCTCTATTAATCAATATATTCTTACCTTGAACGTGCACTCATCAGGATGTGTAACCCGATATTCCTCAAGACCTGGGGCAGCGTACCATCCGCACAAGACCGGGATGAAAATGAAGCTAGGAGCGACCCAGATACTGAGGAGCATGATAGCGACAACTTTCTTCGTCATGTTGATTGGATACTTGAGGGGCTTAACGATAGCGTAGTACCTAGTTAAATAACAAAAAATACAACATTATTGATGACAACAAATAATAGTAAATACGGAAATGGTAAACTTTACAAGGATTAAAGATCTTATACCGATCGTATAAGACACAAGTTTTCATTCAAACATAGATCTAGATCATAAAAAAATTTGAGTTAGTAATTTTGTGAACAAAAAAACGTATTAAACTCATCATTAACCAATTTTTTCCTATAGAAAAGTAAGTTCTCGATAATTTAAAATCGAAATGGTCGTAAATTTATTTCTGATTAAGAAAAAATAAATGTTCTACCATAGTTGAACAAAAACATGAACTATGAAATTGTGAGACTAGCGCTTTTTTGTTGACAAGTCATCTAATTTTTTTTATCAGATATTCTGTAAATTCTGGCATTTACCTGTCGACGCTGATGCAACAGAGATGGAGGATGGACGCCGTCGAGAAGTATACATCCAGAGAATTCCAGGCGTCGCACATTATATAGCCGAAGAGCCACTTGCCTCCAGTCAGTTGTATGGAAGCATTGAACGTCATCACTGTCACAGCCACTAACATGTCTGCGAAGGCAAGGGACACGACGAAATAGTTGGTGATGACCCTAAGTTTCCGATGACGCATGACACTGACGATAACTAGGAGATTGCCCAAGATGGATGCTATGATGATGGAGAACATGGTGAACGCCTTGAAGAGGAACAAAAAGAGATCGGTCCAGTCGTCTTCCGGAGCGGCGACCGCCGTCCGGTTGGACTCGACAGTCGCTGCGATCTCGGTCATCATCTTAGCTCTTCCTGTTGGGCGCCATCCTCCGGCTGTAACAACATTAAATATTGGATGAGTATCACATATCTAGGAGATCTGAAATAATGAATGAATAGTTCATGAATTTTATTTGGAATTTTATTTTATAACAAAAATGCCTTTAATAATAATAATATTGCTTAGACCATATTTACCCTTGCAATTTAAAACAGGGGGAACGTAGTACATTTCTTGTACTAGTACATTTTACCTGCCCTAGTATTAAGAGAGTTAACTGTCTTGGTGTAATTGCTTGATTTGGTTTTTATTGATATAATAGGTCTCATGGCCATTTTCTTCTTAATCTGCGTTGTTCAGGTAACAGGGAGCAGGAGATAGAAAGAACCACAGGATTGTAATGATTTTGGGTTGAAGAATGAAATGTAGTGTATTTGTCTTGGATGTAGGATTTTACTGTTGGGGTGTTTAAGTTGTTATGTATAGTACTGTTTGAAATGTACCAAGGTGCGTTAACAATTTTTCGTAAAATTTTTTATTTTGCTGTTTGTATTTCGTTTATGCGTGTTTGTTTTGCTGAACCCCAAAGTTCTGCTCCATATGTCCATATTGGTCTCAGTAAGGTGATGTAGATCAGTCGCTTGTTACGTAAGTTAAGTGAAGATCTGTAGTCCAGAAGATATGAAAGATGACTATATCGTCTAGTAAATTCTTGTCTTTTTAATTTCGTAGGTATGTTCCAAGTAAGTCTTTTGTCTAAGTAGAGTCCAAGGTACCGTACATAGTTCTTTGAAGGCACTGGATTATTGGCAATTGTTGTGGGTGTACATGAGGCTTTCCTAAGAGGGAAACTAACGTGGGTGGATTCATTACTATTTATTTTGATTTTCCAGTTTTTAAACCACTTTTCAAGATCATGAAGATGGTTTTGTAGACAATTGATGCGATAGTAGGATTTTTGTGTGAAGTTAGAATAGTAGTGTCATCAGCGAAGCAATAAATGGTGGTATTAGGGTGCTCAGGGATATTAAAAGTGTATATAGAATAGAGTATTGGGCTTAAGACGCAACCTTGTGGTACGCCTTTGTGTTGGGGACAGGAGGAAGAAACAGAAGATTCAACGGAAGTACAGAAAAATCTATTAAGAAAGTAGGATTGAATAACTAAAAAAAAAGTGGAAGGTAAGTTCGGTTTTAGTTTCCATAATAGGCCCTTGTGCCAAACACTATGAAATGCTTTCTCTATGTTGAGAAAGATGGCAGAGCAATATTCCTTTTTCTCAAACGTTACAGAGATATCCGATCCATCTACTATCCGATGGCACTGTTGCACATTAGAGTGATAACAGCGAAAGCCAAATTGGTGATTTGGTATCACTTCACTATTTTCTAGAACAGGCTTTCGACGGTTTAGTAGTAGTTTTTCAAATATTTACCCCATTATTGGAATTGTGAATTACGACGATAGGATGAAGGAGTAGTGGTAGCTTTTGAAGGTTTGGGAATCATTTTGATTGTGGATAGTTTCCAAAGGAGAGGAAAATAGGTAGTGCGTAAAATGTAGTTATAGATCTGTGTAAGAAAGAAAACATCTTTTCAAGGTAGGTGTCGAAGAATAAAGGGAGTGATTAGATCATAGCCAGAAGCTTGTTAGTTTGGTAGTCTGTTGATTTCTTTGTAAATTTCTTTTTGATGAAATGTCGGTGGGTTAGTGATAAGGGTTGTGCTGTTGTCAATTCTTCTCCTATTGTGTTAGTAAGATTATTGTCCTGTATTGTGTTAGTCCCAAATATTTAGATTTAAAATATTTAGCGAATTCATTGGATTTTTCTTCGCTTGTTATTGCACAGGTGTTGTATGTAATGTAAGTCTTAGAGGGTATTGAAGGTATTTTTTCTTTAGTATAGGGCTTGTTGTTGTCCATATTGATTCATTTCTATTGTTGATTGTGTCTGAATAGTCTTTATAGCTGTCGTTTTTAAATTTTAACAGTTTTTCGTGAAATTTTCGGGTTAGTTTGTTGAGTTCTGTTTTGTATGATGGATATCTAGTTCTATGCCATAGGGCTCTAATCCTACGTTTTTCTTTTATAAGATTATGTATTGGCTGAGGGAGGTAAGATGCTGGTTTAGTGTATGTCTTTGGTGGTCTAGTTGAATGCCAAATAGCCTCTTGTATACTTTTTGTTAGGTCGTTGATTGCATTGTCTAGGTCATCAGCTGTACTAATTAAAGCGTTTAACGTAATTTTGTTGTTAAAAAATGTTTAAAGTCGTCTCAGTTTATGTAACCGTTAATTAATGTCGGAGGTTTAGGTTTAACGGAAGGGTTATTCTAAAGTTCAAGTAAAATTGGGCTATGATCAGATGAAAGGTCAAGGAAAGATTAAACATTGGAATGTGCTTGTTGTAAGGAGCTTGTGACAAAGAAATCAAGAAGATCATGAGACTTTGATAGTGAAGTTTTCCAGTAAGTAGGTTAAGATGGCGAAATTACAGAAAATTTCAAATCTTCGTTACATTTTTGTAGTCTTTTTCCACGAGTATTGGACACTCTAGAGTGTCACCTTGTGTTTTTAGCGTTAAAATCTCCTCCTACAATGAATGGTTTTCCCATTGTATAAAAAATAGTCTTTAATTCATTCGTGAATATAACTTTATTGGGAGCTATATAGATTGAGGCAGTCGTGAGTTGGAATTTTGAGGAGTATAGGAAAATATTGGTGTATTGTAGGAAATTCGTAGAATCAGCAGGAAGAATATGGTGATTTAAGGATTTGTCCACAATAATTGCAGTTTCTCCATGTGCTGTGTGGTTTGGATGGTCAGTTGTGTAAGTTTCGTAATCTTGTAGCTTAAATGTTTGCTTGTTTGTTAAATGAGTTTCAGTAATCAGAGCTATGTTTATGTCATGTTCTTTTAAACAAATTTCCAGTTCATTTTTTTCGTTGGAGCAGACCATTGGAGTTCCATAGGAGTATTCTTAGAGAAGGTGATTTCGAATTTGTCACCGGAAGGATTTGAAATGAAAGTAGAAACTTAAGTTAGAAGTTCTAGAATAGGGAAAAAAGGGATTTAAGTTCAGTTTGAAGAGGTTCCATAGAAGATTTTATAGCTGAAGAAAAATCAAAAGCTGAAGAAGGAGATTGGATAGAAGCTGTAAAAGAATATCTCCCTGTTACCTTAGCACAGAAGACCCATGCCATGGTAGATGGTTTATCACAACTCTGCGGTGTTTGTCCTTTCTCTTTTACTGATTTAATGTGTTCTTCATTTGTTTCTAGTGATATTAATTTGGCTGTTGAAGGATCCATTATATTTGGAGTCTGGGAAGATAGGGGATCTACCTCTAAACCTGATCCAGAGGTTATATGGTTGACAAATGGTTTGTTTTTTAGATATATTAGTTTTTTTAATGTAGCGCATCCTTTGTAATTATCAGGGTGAGCACCTTCGCAGTTAGCACAAGTGGCGGGCGTTTCTCAAGGTTTTGTACAGTTTGCTGTGAGGTGTGGGCCAGCGCACTTTACACATTTGGCGGAAAGATTACAGTACCCTTTTGGGTGGCCATAGGTTTGACATATTTGACACTGTGGCGGTTCCTTTCTTAAGTATGGTTCTTCTACTTTTATTTTAGTATATAATACAAATTCTAGGTTAAAAAGTTCTTGACTTTGTTCCAAATCTATAAAAAATATCGGTAGCGGCACTTTTGTTTTAGGATGTTTTGCGTTACTAATATTTTTTACACTGTATTTACACTGTGTTCTTCGGGTTCTAATTTGATATCTTCAAATTCTGTCGTGTGATGAAGATTTCGAATGGCAATACGAAATGTTTTTTCATTTTGTAATTGATATGTGTAGAATGTTGCATTTTGTGCTTTTAATAGTTTTATTATTTTTCGATAATCATCTGGAGTAGATGGAAATATTTTGGACTCATTTGTGCTAGAAAGACAATAAAATCCGCTAGGTCCGACTTCTGTTGATAAATTTTGACATGATTCTTTGAAGTTTTTAACTGATTTTAAATTAATAGAGGGGTGTTTAGGAATATTGTTATGAGTGTTGGACGTCATAGAAACGGGTTGAGGTGCTATTACTTTGGGTAAAGTAACATTTGTTTGTTTAAGTAATTCGTTGGATGGGAAGACATTTGTTGTTTTTGTGATATTCGATAAGTTAGATTTCTGGTTAGTCCCTCTACTATGAGTAGACGCTTCTGTTTTGTTCTGCTTAGAAAGGTTTATGAAGGCAGGAGTTCGTTTTCTATTAGTTAAAACTTTAGGTTTTTGAGTTTTTGTCATCCTGTAAATTTAAATGTGACTTGCTATATGAGGGATGAACTTTTTTATACCAAGTAGTTAGTTCTTTTCTTACTAACCTGACAAAAAATTACTAACCTTATTTTTTGAGAGGGAGTATTTCTTTCCGGATCAACTTTTTAAAGTTGTTCTATTGGTTGTCCAGTACTTGCTTTTAATATTTTCATCTAGAAATCGATCGATATCGATTTATTTCCATTTATTTACTTTTTCGATCGATCATATGATAGGTTAAAAATATCATATGTTATAAATGAAAAAATTCAAACTACACAGCCATCCTAATAAATAGTTAACTTGCGAACGTTTTGCCTATTCTGGTATTATCTGGGCAGAAAAAAAACAAGATCACGTTCATGCAGGTAGAAAATATAAAATAAAATATATAAATAATTGCAGTTGACATCTCTCGAAGCTCTCCAAATACATACTGAAGAAAAGAGAATTCTCTATTAAAGCAGCTAAGGGGGTTATATTGAATAGCTGTCTGGCAGAAATAAAAGGGGAAAACTTACATAGAAGTAAAATATATTAATAATAGAAAACGTGTAAAATATAATCAGCAATAAGTTCTAAAGAAAAAGCTAATATTTATATATTTTTAAATTGCATTTAACTCGTTTTGTATTATTATATTTTAGTTATTTGTAATTTTTCCCATGCATTCCTGCCAATCATCTATTCAATAAAACCTCCTTCATCTGTGTTAATAGAACCTTCTCTTTCCTCAAGTATGAATTTGGATGGCTTCCTGAGTAGTCAACTGCAATTATTTATATGTGATCTTGTTTTCTCCGTCCTGATGATGTCTGTATCGGTGAAACGTTGTCAAATTAACTATTCACTTGTATGTTGGAAACTCATGACTTTGTAGTTTGAATTTTTCCATTCATAGCATAATTACCTAATATTTCTTCTTTTTCTAAAGTTATGCTTATTTAAGTAATAATCTATAATTATTATAAAATCATAGATTCTGAGAGCGACGAAGTATCCCCGTAACGGTAAATAAAATATAAATAATTAAGAGACAATTACACAAATTATTAATATTTAATTTTCTTAATCAAATTATGAGCAAGAGGTGGAAAGAAAATAATCAACAAACAAAAGTTGAGTCTGTAAACTGGCAATATATTTCTTCATACGATCCAAAACATTATTTTTTTCTTTTCTGAGATCGTCAAATAATTCTAGTGCTGCTAATCTGAATAGTTCTTTAAAGCCAGAGCGAACCTGTATAAATTTATAGAATAGACTCTTGAAATATACCATAAATTATAAGGAAGTCATAAGAAATGAAATTAGACAGTTTATTTTCATAGCTTTTTCTGAAGTTGAGAGAATTTATTAAGACGGAATATATAAGACGGCGGAAGTTAGGATTTATGAGACTGTTATTTGATTTTAGTACTGTAATAAAGATGATAAAATTAAAAAAAAAAAAATATTTCAAATTCAAGATGAATAATATTTTATGTATTAAAACTATTTATTTTTTTTTCTATTTTCAACGTGTTTTTATTTTACTTTATTAAAAATGGCACTTTAAAACAATTTATACATATTTTTATAACTGTAACATATAATAAAACAACTATGTCTGAGGACGACTCAGAGATAAACACTTCATTTTCGTGTAAAATATAAAAAATAAAGTATAATATTTAATATAAAACATAATAAAATAAAATATAAACATAATGTAAAATAAAGTCGCAGGGTGGAAATTAAAACAGCCTAGGTATATGATGTTAGGTTCTTTTTATTGTTATGCGAATTCGGTCATTCTGAAATAATGAGTGGTTTAAACCATTAATAAGATAGCATGTCAAATCAATAGATATCTTTGTAAATATCTCAGTGTTCAGTATTTCTTGATGAAAATTTTAGCTGAGGATGAAGAAACAGAAATGGATACAAATTTTAGGAACAGATAATATAGTGTTAATAATGAAGAATTTGCTAAAGGGCGGATTGATAATATTAATTTTTAATAAAATTATTGAATTATGTTTTACACTATTTTTATGACGTTAGAAAATAAAAATAATTGTATTTTTAACAATTCTACTATTCTATCCAACTTGAAAGAAATGTTTCGAACTTCATTTCCAATACTTGGTTCGACTGATCGGGAATGAAATTGTAATTATTACAAAAGTAAAAATTAAATTCGAAGAATATATAACATAAATTGGCTATACTTTAGGAAAATACCATTTTAGTACTCCAATAATAATTCTTCAAACTTTTTGGTCTTTGGGACATGGCTTATACTGACAAAAATACTAATATATTTAAGTTCAAAAGCATTGAAATTATAATGTTTTATTTCTCGTCATGTTAATTTAGGAACTTCTATAATTAAATGTTAAATTTAAAATATCTTATTTATTTTCATTCATACAGCAATATCTTTTTTAAATTTTAAAGTCTAATAAATTTTATACTATATCCTGACCTTTATTTAAAGTTCTTTATAACTGATCAAACTTACAAGATGAGGTTACAGCTATTGGGTCACCAATTTTAACAAATTTTTTTTAAATCTAATAACTAAATCGAAAATTATTTGACACATATCCCGGCGTTCGTTGCAATGGGTCCTAGGAATCAGAAAAGAAATTAAATAATTTCCAATAAAATCTATCTTATTTATTTTTGCTTTTGCTTGGCCTTGATTTTTAGATTATTATATAACAATCGATTTATTTTTTTGTAAAGAGTAAAAATATATATTAGCTATTGAATTAAATTAGTTGTAATGTATCATCAATTACAAAAACCAAACGACGCTTCCAGTAAAATAGACCAAGTAATTTTTTTTTTTGAAAAATCAAGTTAGATTTGTTCCTTGTGTCCTTTGAAACTGTTAAATACAATTTTTTATAGACATCAAAAATTGTTCAATTTAATACTTGATTTTCTTAAATGTTTTTCCGGCCGGTAACTAAACCATTTATAATATCGCAGGATTTTCTTCGAATTCAACGTAGGTACAACAACGGTTGAAAAACCGAATTACTGCTCCTTCAACCCATATCGATAACTATTAGATTTCTTTCCTTTTTAAATTATAAATTGAAAAACAATCTTCTCTATCATTTTACTTTTATTTTCGCTTCTAATTTGTTTACAGAGGTCGTTTTTGCACTATTTCGTGTAGCATATTGATCCCTATATGCCTAATATTTATTATGTGGACCGTTATAGTCTTTCTAAAGTTATAACGATTTGTATGGTTGTTAACAAAATTTCGAAGGGTCTATATATATATATATATATATATATATATATATATATATATATATATATATATATATATATATATATATATATATATGTATAGATTAATATCTCATAAATTCCCTTCATCAATATGAATTACTATGTTTTAAAATTCAAAATTCCTAATTAATATTTTGTGGAATCAGTAACCACATTTTATTCTATGGAATACATTTAATAAATCAATAACGATTAAGTTTAAATAATTGAAATAGAATCTCTGGATGAATTTTTATGTGAGTGAGGCGATTCGCAGTTTTACTGATATTATGGAAGCTTATTGCACTCATTGCACTCAACGGTCTACTAAAATTATAAATCCAACGTGTTCAGCATATTTTAATAAATGTAGGCGTGATTCTCAAGTAACGAAAAAGTTACAGGTCCTAATTTCAAAAAAAAAAATCTTAATAAAATCCTTAAATGTTTGCGGATTACCAAATTTATTAGTTAAGAAGATCGACTAAATTTTGAAAACTAATCTAACCATTAAATTTATTTTACTAAATACGCGTCATTTGGATTAGTTCCGGATTGTACAATTACTTAGACGAAATAACCGGAAACATAAAACTACAACTTTTGGAGAATTACATTTATTTTTTAATGTTTCGTATAGTAAATTAAAGTTTTTAAAATTATCTAAAACTTTTATTATATAGGTTTTCTCCTGATTAATTTTGAAATATTTGAAACAGTTCCTTAGATAATGCACAATGCACTGTCTTCTTCCTCAGTACTCATAAATGTCATATTTACAGGCCTATAATAACGTTTTTGGTACACATTTTCTTCTTTTTTCTAATAATATGTGTAGCCAAATTTTAAATCGTGTTATTTAATAGAGTAGAAAACAAATTTTTAATAGATTTTTTTTCTACTTTATTTAGTAACTGAATTTAAATTGTGTCTACACTTATCAGACAAACCAACAAAATTTATACTAAAAACGTTATTGTAGCCCCATAACTATGTCATTTATGAGTACTAAGGTAAAAGGCAGCAGGCGCTTACAAAAGAACAGCTTCCGCCAATTATGTGCATTTTCTAAGTAACTGTTTCAAATATTTTTAGATTAAATTAAAAGCTAATCTGACCATTAAATTTATTTAATTGCTAACTGCTCGATATTAATACAAGTCATTTTTAATTGCTCCTGATTGTACCATTACTTAGAGGAAATATCTTGTAACAAAAACCTCAAGTTTTGGAGAATAATATTTTTTGTTCACATTTAAAGATCCGTCGCTGTAAATAATGAACGGAAAGCCAGCTGATTAATTTTTTTACATACTTGTTTTTTTTATTAAATAATATCTTGTGAACCATTAATTCATTTATCGTTATTTCTTATTCTTATCCATATCTTCTGAGTAATATTTCATAAGGAAATGAAATGAAAAGTAATATGATTTGAAGAAGCTTTCACCTGACGGGACACAAACAAAGGTCCATTATCCCTTTCCGGCCTTTCGAAAACAGGGCATTTGTTTATGCGGCAATGGAGGGGGAGGGTGGAGGTGGAGAGGAGAAACAAGGGGCGGGGCGCTCGAAGGGAATTAGAATTTCAAATTCACAATCGCCGGGCTGGATGCAAATCTCATGGTGAAATATCATCACTAATTCTTCGTCACAGCTGACCAGTGCTATCTATATCGCTCTTCTAAAGCCAAAGCCTCTTTTAAACGTTGATTAATAGCAAGTATACGATTTATTGCTGAACATCTGCGACAAATTGCAAAATATCAGCTGTGTTTTATTCGGCTTATTCTATCAGATCTCAGACAATAAACTGGGAACATTTTCCTGAACAAGTCGGAAGTAACGGGCCAAACTACTACTAGATTACGCAAAGAAAAATAATAAATTCTTAGATAATTACAAATAAACCAAAAATATATATATATATATATATATATATATATATATA